CAGCTGCAGTTGGAGCAGGTCGCAGCCAGGAGTCGGGTAAGTCTTAAGATCCGGCTCACACACAGGATCAAACCTGAATCAGTCTAATCTCGGCAATTTGTTATTATGCAGGAGCTGCAGGGAAGAAATGAAGCTGATGCAGCGCCCCCTGCTGCTCTCCCAGACACATCCAGGTAGCTTTTCATCCTCCTCAAATGTACATCCTTAAAAAAGTCTTTAATGCATGCGTCTTAAATTAAGGCCTTAAAATGTCTTAAATTCTAGACATTAAAATTTGACTATCTTGACTATTTTATCTTGTAAATTCTATGTATTTATTTTTTTTATGTGTGTTTTTTTTGTTTATTTTTTTCTCGTGGGACTTTTCTGTTAGGCAAATGTTTGAGTCATCCTCACATCTCCATTGCGTTTTGTGACACAAGACAGTTGCAGCTATCGCTAACCAGCTGCTGATATCTCAGAAGATCTGTTCCTGTCCTTTCTCATGTATTTTCTCACAAGATATTTGTAGTTAGAGAATATTTTTGGGATACAAAAAAATATTAAAAAATATAAAAAAATATTCTCCAACTTTTCTTTTACTTATATATAAATCTGTTGTTTGGATTCTTCTCTTATGCCACTAATAAAACAAACCAATACCATATTATCAGCCTAATTTTCTTAGTTGCAAAAACATCATGTACCTTGGTCAAAAATTTCAAATCAGAAACTTCGCTTGTCAGTCTTCAAAGAATGTATTAGAACATTACAGTATTCAAAAAATAACATCAAGTCCACTAAGACAACTTATGTGTGTATTCACCTTTTTGTGAAGCAACTTGTCAACCCCATTATCAGTAATCAATAAAAATAAAAAAGATGTAAAGGAAAAAAAAAACGTCTGATTTAGCGAAACCTGCAGAAACTCTGTTCAAACCTGTTGCAACTCATTTCGGATCTAAAATGTAAATTTTTCTCTCAACAGCTCCGGCGTGGACAAACCGTCCACGTCTGCTTTGCAGGCAGACGTTTCGCGGTTGGAGGCGGCTCTGGTGGATGTGAAGCGGGACGTGGACGGCCTGTCCGGGTGTCAGGACGGCTGCCAGAAGCTGGACACAATCCAGCAGACGGTGACAGGATGCTACACTGAGAGCTCACTTTTCACAATAAAATCCTTTCTGTGAAGCGTTTCTAACTCAAAGCTTTACCCCTACAGATTTCAGAGCAGGTATCGGGTCTGATCCGGGAGGAGGTTCGGGCTCTGGTTTACGGGAACCAGCTGACCCAGGGCAGCGTCTCCGTCTTGCCAGAGTCCCTCCTGCAGTGGCTGTCGCAGCGGTTTGTGGGCGAGGCTGACCTGAAGGAGGCGCTGTCCTCTCTGGAGTCCAGCATCCTGCAGAAACTCAGCAGGTGGCGGCGACAGCACAGTGGGGAGGAGACGGTCATAGAGGATGTACTGGACATTCCTGGGAACGCTGTCACCAAGGAGGTGAGTGGGAAAGTCTCAGTTTTACCCTCACATGGGATGTTGGTACATATGACGGAAAAGAGAAGGTTCCAACCAGGACTGAAATAGTTAATCGTGAGGAACTTATTTTTGAAATAACGGTCAATTATTTTGTAATCGATTAATTAACTCAAAAATGGCTATTTCCTCAAAGAATAACACACTCAGACCTGTAATTAAGTCAAAACTGGACAAAATATATGTACATCCAATTATTAATTGGTTAATCCAAAATGTAACAGATTGTTAAACCAAGCAGAAAGGATTGAGCTCTTTCTGCTCTATATATATATATATATATATATATATAT